GCAGGGCAGGCATAAGCAAAAGATCTTCTTCATATACCGACTGCTTGTACTTCTTGGCTAGTTTACTCCTCCAGTTTGGCTCACTAAGAAACCTGGTAAATGGTGGGCGTGACTCTGTGCTCTCTGTCTTTGTTGGTACAACCTCTGTCTCCATGTCCAATGAATGGACTTTTTGAACTGCTGGTTTGTCATCAAGATCCGCTAATGGCTCTGGTTCAGAGAGTCTTTCCTGGTGTTCAGTAACAGCTTCCTCCTCCCATGGTATAGGTGTCCTGTGTCTAACAGGGGTAGCAGGCAGTGAGACAGCCTTTCGCACAGGACTTTTAGGTGCAGGTGTACTCCTTCCACTAAAAATTCCTTCATAATGCTCTTGCAGCTTACCAACATCTTTTTCTTTCCGAGACACCTGTTTAATCTTCTCAGCATACACCTTGTTCTTCAACTTCTCCAGTTTTTCTTCACTCTTCTTGTCAACATTCAGACCGCAATGCAGCTTGGTGTAGAAACTGTGGAGATCATCTATATTGAGCTCTCTCTTCTTGAAGTCTCTCTCCTTGTCCACAGACCAGCGCAGTTCATCGAAGTTCTCATTGACGAAGGTCTGTCCGTGTTCAGCTGCCATCTCCATCTCCATGTAGAGATGAAGAGTGCTGTAGAACTTCTCCAGTTGCCTATTGCTTGGTAAGTACTTCTCTGCCAGGGTGTCACCCTTTTTCTTCTCACTTTCATCCATGTGCTTGTTGAGGTTGGAGTAGAAGTTGACCAGGTTCTGGTAGCTCTTGGTGCGCTGTGAGGCTTGTTGAAGACCAGCAGCGTACTTATGATAGGACTCCTGGTCTGCTGCAGGAGAGCGGACAACTCCTGGAGTAGATCCAGAGGATGTTGCAGACCGTTGGTAGATTGGTTTCCTACTCTGTCCATCTCCGTCAGCAATGCTACTACCAGACCTAGGGGCAGAGGACGATCTCTTGTGTTTGACCTTCTCTCTACTGCTATCGATGCGGTACTGGATACGACTTGGTCGCGATGGGCCTCTGTAAGGAGCTTTGTCGTCCTCCTCATCATTATCTTGATTCGTTGGCATCACTGGCATTGGATGTGGAATAGGGCTGCCCCCAACATCAAGACGAGGTTTCCTAAACACAGCAGGAATTGTTATGATCCTGGTTTCATTGAAGGCACTACACTCCACAGAACAATATGAGGATATCAAAGTAGTCTCTGCAATCATTCTGAACCTTTCTGATGAACCTGCTTCCACTTCATTCTGGTAAGGCAAGCACTCAACAATGTCTTTCTGAGCTACATCACTGCAGACACTTTCTGCTAGGGCTGAGGATGTAGACATGCACGTCGGAGTTTTAACTTCACCCCAAACCTGCGAACTGTCCACTCTACTACCTATGTAATCACTGCACCCTTTCACACACACAGCGGAACTATATGTGGGACTAAGGAAACCTGATACACCATCTACTACTTTCTGATTTCCTACCACATGCATTTGGAGATTTGGGGAGCTGTTAGTAGGAAAAGAAATATCCGTGGCTGCATGTGTGAGAGTAAAAGAAGTGGTAAAAACATATGTTAAGATTAATAGTGATGTTATATTGAATTGAAAGCGAGATAGGTATGCATGATCTAAATACTAGGGTCAATTCATGAATGGCATGGGTTACTTTTACTACAATTAAATCTCATAAGTGCATGGAATCTATAAAGCAGTGCCTCATAAATGTTTTAATATTGAATAATGTTAACAACGTGTTAACAACAGTCCTATATAGAATTAGTACTTACAATATGGATTATATGTATATTTACGAAATGACTCATTTAAAGGGATGAATAAGCATGATGGCAGCAAATTAATGCATAACTGTTCATTGAAATGTAATTCCTCTTCAATCTTATCACTGAATAGATGGCATAATATCTAATTCAAAATCTGAATTTCATTTATCGGCTACTATTACTAATATGACATTTTTTTAAAACATAGATGGTGTCATGAAAAGAGATCAACAGTGAGTACAAAAAAAACAATGCTTGTCATAGTGTAGATTAGAAAGGTTATATAAGGGTGATAACACTTGTCTGTCTATTGAGAACGATATATGTGATTATGATGTGCTTTACAAAAGAAATTGAGAATTATTAAAAAACAGAAATAACAAATTTTGAAAACACATTCTCTAAGCGGGTCTAATGATAAAGAGAACCAACTTTTATTCAAGAACTAAATTTTTTTAAAGTAATCTATTCATTATAATATTTGAAGAGTTCATGGTACTGTACTTTCTAAGATGAAATATGGTCTAATATTAATTAACAATTTTCACAAATAACCCAACAGCATACTTTTGCTTAATCTATACCATTCCAACAATTTATACTTGCTCACTTAAACGATATTCACTTGTGTTTTTAACTACTGGTACATTTTATCCACGGAAATATCTTTCAGCACTATTAAACTAGTACCTACTATGAATTTTATTCAGGTGTCACACAATGTAGTAATTCATCCTCACCTCATAGTTTTACTCACAAAGCACAATAATTCAATTGCTTGTAGAAGATCATAAAGGCTTTCAAGAATCACATAAGTAAATATTCCATAGCCTAGTGCATCACTTATGCAAATATGACTGCACATTATATAATTGAAATATCAAGTCTATAGGTAATACAATACAATATTGGAATCGCAAAACCTAAGGTTGATTTGTGTTTTTTCTTTTTAATTAAAGATACATCTTGCTCTAAGGGTTCTCCGTAGATACATGTACATGTTTACTACAGTAAAAATATATGAGCTTTTATTTCTGCTTCAAACAAATATTGCAAGTTGAAAAACACTCTTAGTATTAAACCATTAATGTAACACTGGAGTAGACTAGTAGATGCACCCAAACATGCTCATGAACTTGGGTTCCATAGCCACGGTCCTATATTATACTTCTCCTTTCCGTCATACTCCTAATACAAAATCATCAACTTACATGTACATGTATATAATGTCAGGTAAAGTTGCTGTCATTCAAGTGGTTGTATACACTCTAGCTACACACAAATTGTTTTGAAGGTGATTGGTACCCTTCAAGTCATTTCCATTGTCTTGTAATCTCAAGAGAAAATAAAAGGCAAGTTTCTACTTCATCCTGACCATGCCATGAACCAGTGATGGCCTGGTGGTAGAGTCGCTGCCCGGCAAGCAGTAGATGGCAGGTTCAAATCCTGCTGGTTCCAAGATTTTTTCTGACTTGTTTTTCAATACAGATCGATCAATCAATCTTTTTTACTGGGTGTAAGCCACAAATACGTTTTAAAAAATTGAAATTTCTCCCAGGAAGCATTACATTAAAAAAAAGTTGTTGGAAGATTAAGAAGACAGTTAAGGCAGAACAAGACTATGCAATAGGTAATCTCATGCTTTATCTAAACATGCTCTACACACATGGGGTAGACAGGCAATAATCACTCTGACAAACTGGATTAAAAAAACCTCTCATGGAATCATCGTTGTTCATAATCTAAAGTATCTATATCTCCTGAAGAATGTTAAACTTTAACTTATTTTACTTTCTTTCTTGAATTACTTGATGGTCATATGCCAACAATTATACAATTTCCACACAACTGCACCAGGAGCGTCATTTTTGACAGACATGGCGCATTATAAATGTTCACTATTATTATTATTATTAAGTGTTACTCCTATTCTTTGACTTGACATTTAATTTATATACATGAACTTCAACTTATTTCAATATCCATTTCAATATTCTTAATAACCTACTAATGTTTTTCACGATTTGTGTTAGAATCTTGATTTTATCTTCTAAACTGATCTAATAGTTATATCAGTTATTTCATACTTGTTTAATCATTTGTCAATGTTTATAATCACAATCCAATCCAATCCAGGTTTTTATAAAGCGCCAATATCTAGTTGCCTAATCAAAGGCGCTGATGAGCCTGAAAAACTACGAACATTTTCTGTTCATGATTCTAACTGGAAAAGACAAAAAAAAACAAAGACTTATTGTTAGCAATTTGAAATAGGTAGAACAATTAGTTCTTCGTAAAGCTCTCTTCTATTAGAATTTGTTTCATTTTGACTTAAAAAAATATTCTTTGACTAATTCTAAAAATTTACAATTTCTATCTATTCTTTTTTTTTAAAAATATACATCAACCTCCAATGTGCTACTTTAGAAAACAAAATTATTCAAATGAATCTTTCAGGTAACAGCTTTTCACTGCAGAACTATACTGTTTGCCTTCTTCTTTAATTATTGGAACTCATCTTTTAATTTACTTTGAACAACTTGCTCTTTCTCCACTACAGGAAACTTAAAATTCCTTTCCCCAAACGACAAGATCACATAGTATCCTGAAGCCTGAGCGCATGTTAACAGACCTAGGCCTGCCAAGTGGTTATCCTCATATCCAGTTCACATTGCCAAAGAGCACTTTCATTCAATCTGAAAACAAATAATGGCAGCGCGGCACGCAGCCTCTTCAAACAGCTTTCACCCATGACTGTGTAATGTATATCTCTCCTGACGTTCACTTGCTAGAAATGCACATGCAGAAATGTTTGACCTTCTAAAGGTTGTTGATACAGTCCACCCTGTCATACTGCCACTTTTCTTACCAGAATAGCATTTTTTCATAATGGTTGAATTATTTCACAAAAAACCTGGTACTGCCATAATCTAAATCAGCTTTCATATTTAAAAAAAAAAAAAAAAAAAAAAAAAAAAAGTTCTCCGAAAGAAATGGAGTACAACATAAAATTGTTTGTAGATACAAAAATTAAAGCCAAGCCCGTAAACACAAGAAACTTACATTGGCCATCACAGCTCGGGCAGTTGACCCGACTTAAGCAAGTAAGCAACATTGTGAGAGCAACACGGTAAGCTGGGTTGGCTTTGAAAGTTCATGTCAGGATTCAGAGGGAAATATATTACTGGGTGTGGTTATTTGCTTACCTCTACGAGCCTTTGGAGCACCGAAGCCGAAACCAGATGTATTGGGCAGCTCACCAGATTTGACGAAGGTATGATAGCCCTTCCTAGCTTCATCATCAGAAGCATAGCCCGAGCCTGAGCCAGGAGCAGATCCACGCCGGCTAGTCAGGCAAAGAAAAGCAGTTTGTGCTTTGTTTACGGTTACAGATTAGAGGAAGATATAAAACCTTTCCATACGATGCACAGCAAATCTCAATTATTATTATCCATATAAGGCTTCCGAGTGCTACAATAAATTAGTGTATTCAATATCTTTAGCGCAGTACCTGGATGACCGACCAATATAGTCTTTGTATTGCTCAGTCATCCAAGAACTTCAACTATTGATATCATAATGATATGACACAAAAACAAAGCCATATTTACTGAGGTAAGTCAAATTTTGTTAATTCGCTAGTCAGATTAATACAGATAATAATAATAAATTGTATGGCTATGTTTTCGTGTGATACAAGATGAAGAATATATTACTTTCACTAAGACAATATTAGACTCTTCTTTGACTCGTCCAATATTGTTGCAAATGACAGACAGAAATGTAGCTGGCAATTGCTTCATTTTAGTAGCCTTCATGTAATAATATGTGTAAATATTTTCATTCTAAAGAAGATGCCAGATTGAAACAGAGTGAAAAAAACAATACTTACCCTCCTTCATAATAAAGTAGACCATCTTTCTTTGCTTGGACCTAGAAAAATAAAGAAAAAGTTTCATGTATTAAAGAAAGCAGGTCTTCTGAATGTGCAAGCCTTGCTCACATTAAGTGGGTAACATTCAGCCATTGACTACTGAATTCTCTATATTCCATAGGCTTTAATGCCTTAGTCACACCGCCAAACCAACAGCACAAGACCAACCGATTCTTTCCATCCGGGGTAATGTCATGTGTTTCTTTGGTCTATTGTTGGTGTGATGTCAGTCTTGATGGTGTGACCCCCCTGGTTTACAAGACCAACCGATTCTTTCCATTCGAGGTAATGTCATATATTTCTTTGGTCTGTTATTGGGGTTAGGTCAGTCTTGATGGTGTCACCCCCTGGTTTACAAGACCAACCGATTCTTTCCATCCGGGGTAATGTCATTAGTTTCTTTGGTCTGTTGTTGGTGTGATGTCAGTCTTGTAGGTGCGACTGGGATGTAATAGAGAACCCACTGGCTCACATAGGAAACCTGGGGAGTGTTTTACAAAGACTAAGATCAACTTTAAGTTGGACTTAAATATGACAGGCTGTTCATCCCACTGTTTGCTCTCACCATCTACTGGCATTGGTCTCTCAAGGGATGTACAAATCATGGTCACAAATCTTTTATCTAAAGATCATAATGGTGAGAGCAACCAGTGGCATAAATGGCCTGCCATAGTTAAGTCCAACTTAGTCTTTGTGAAACACTCCCCATGAGTTATATGACTCATTAAAGTGATTACAGTGGGTAACACAAAAACTACATTGATGTGTTTAATTACATGAACAAATATGGAAAAAGATAATACATTTAGATGCAAACCTTTAGAGCTTAGAGCTACTTACACTTTTCTCATGAGCTGCTAGGGCTGACTTTCCTGGTACAAAGTTCTGTATTCTACCCGGCTGTACACGATATGAAGGTGTGTTCTTCACCACTGTCTCTGGTTCATTATTCCTGAGGAAACACAACAGTAACAGTCAATATAAGATGATGACGTGGATCCTAGTCAAATGATTGGTTGAGGGCATACACGTGACAGGTCATTATCAAATGCTAATGACCGGTCATTAGTAAAATCATATTATAAAACAAATAAAACATAATCTTAGAGAACAAAAAATACACATCATTTTGTTTGGGCATTACTAAAATTACCCACACTCAGTACCTTCAAAACAGTCCAAACACCCGCAGCTATCGCCTTGGGCGTGTTCCAAAGGTACCTTGTGTGGGTGATTCTTATTATATTCCACATACAAAGAATCTTGCGCTACGATTGGTCAAAAGTAAACCATGTGATGAAAGATAGTTCGCCCATCATTGATGGGAGAAGGGAAGTTTGTTGCATCTTACTAATGTATTATTTGTATAGTTTGATGATTTTAAATAAAAATATTTCATTAATGAGGTTCTAATGGATTTGATAAATGAAAGTTGAGTAAGATTTACAACAACAAAATCTTGAAGTTATCATCTTCTTATACACATGAGGACACAGTACATGTGTAGGATTTTACTACTTTTGCACTATATATATAGAATGGCCCTTTTCATTATCAATAACAACACACATACCTAAAAATTTGTCACTGTTTTGTTTTCTTAAATACAATTTACAAGAGCACTGTTACTAATATTAGAATAAAAAACTCTGACAGTACCTTAATTGATTCCCGGCTGATTTGATTTCATTAAAATCATTCATAGACTGTAAAAATTATGCATAATGAAGATGAAAATGTAGAGATTGAAGAGTCAAGTTCTTCAAGGAATACGACTCACCTAGGATCTTCTTTCTTCCAGTCATCTGCCATGTGATAGGGGATTAAAAAAAAGCTTTATTAATATTTTAAAATGAGCAAGGTTTTCCTGATTCTCAATTATGTTTAATTTGAAGTAGCCTACATTGAATCTTTATTGTCTTGTCAAGCTAGACTGCAATGTCCATCCATTAATTTTCCTCCAAAATGGACAAGATTATCATTTGGTAAATTGGAGGGGTAAGATATTTTTTCACGTATATCATTTTATTTACAAAACTTTTGCAACATATCAATTTAGAAGCATCATCAACCCAATCATCAAAGCAAATGCTTTAAATAATGTGAGTAAATGAACATACAACATATTAGATATAATCAAATCCCGGTCACAATTTGGTAAATTTGTACTTTCAATTCGGACTTGCTTATGACAATAGCCTGACTTAAAGTAAAATCAGTTTCATCAAGAATTTGGTTACCGGTAGTCAACATTTCACAAGTATGGTGATAAATAGAGTTTTTCCACTAATAATGAATACACATCACTAGTTATAGATGTGCATCCACCGGTTACGAATTTACATCTATCGGTTATGAATATATATCACTACTTAAAAATGTGCATCCACTGGTTATGAATATACATCCATTCGTTATGAATATAGATCCCTGGTTATAAATGTGCATCACTAGTAATAAATGTGCAACACTAGTTATAAATGTGCATCACTAGTTATAAACGTGCATCACTAGCTATAAATGTGCATCCACTGGTTATGAATATGCATCAACTGGTTAAGAATATGCATTCACCAAACATGCAGATAGGGCCAAAGGTCATGCATGCCCATCACCAGAGAGCAGATAAGGCTTGTTAGAAGGGTATAAAACAGCAAACTATAATCTAACAAAAAGTTGTTCAAAACAAATATCCTGTAGGGCATTTAACCACAACATTTTGAAACATATCTTGAGAAAACAATTTGTAAATTACCTATTTTTATTAGTCTGCTGAGTGTGTACTTTATGTTTCTCGTTCTGTAATTTTGTAAGCGTTATTGTACCTTTTGTTTGTTAGCACTCCTAAATACCTGATATCATTATTATGAGCATTATTATTAAACATTAAAGAATAGTTTGTGGTACAAATTCATCTACCTTTCTACTTGTAAGTATCATCAATTTCCAAATGCACATAATACAGATAAAGGTTTATAAAGGCCAGGCTTTAACCCCACCCACATGTGAGTGCATAGAATGTGTCTGCCTGGTTATGGAATGCCAAATATCCTCTCTTTATTCTGAACAATTCATTGTTATCTTTTTAATACCGGTACATGAGAATACCAAAAAATTGTGGTGCCGAACAAAAAAAAAACTTTTCATTCCGTGACCCAATGACATCAATATTTATTTTTATTTATTTATTATTATTTTGTTAAAACATAACTTAAATGTTGACACTTCCATAAATCCAATCAGTAGACTGAGGTATGCCAGGTGACTATTAAAGCCCCACTGCACTAGTTTAGCCAGGAGGGATTAGACCTCCCTGCATGGTCACTGACAGGTGGTTATCTCATCAAATCAGCTCTCAATTAACATAAGAAAAAGAGGATCATGGGGGGACCAATGTTCAGTCACCGATTAGGCATTGTTTGATATATAGAGGGCGCAAGTAGCTGTAAGTGGTGCAGTGGGGCTTCAAAAGAACAAAGCTACGGTATGCTACAATCTAAACTACTAATCTAAACATTGCACACTGATCTCACCTTTGGCAGGTGCATGCATTACATCACTCTCACTCATAAACACGCTATCAGAGCTGTCATCTACATACAAAGGGAAATAAAACAAAAGCATGAAGCAAGCCACCAATATAATCTAGCTCCACTACAAGAAGGGAACATAATTCATGCCTTTAGTGCAAGAAAGTGCTTTCTTTTAATTATAAATCATAAAAAAAGTTAGATTCATTAATTTATTTATGGAAGGTCTAGTGAGATTGGAATTGACATTGGAATTGAGGAATGTCCATATGTTTTTAACTTTAGTCTTAATACAATGGTGAAATTGGTGTAATTAGAAAATGGGTCATTTGATTTGAAAATGAAGAAACAAAATTATATTATGTCCGCAATCATTTCCGGATTGAGGAAAGTCCACAGCTCACAATCAAATAATTACTTATAAATAGATAAAATAAGGTCTACTATCTGCATATTTATCTCTATTTTTATCTTGAAATCTATGCTACCAATGCCATGAAAATTAAAAATCATTTTATATTAAGCAATATTGATTTACCAGCTGTATTAAATGAACCCGAACATGGTTTAGATATGGCGTCAGATATCAATGAACTTTTGCCAAACAGAACATAAAGCTTAGCAGTTTTTAAAAAACAACATCAAAACAATTTGTTAAACAAATATGCAAAAGAGAAGGTACCAAAGGGGGAACTGAAAGCCTACAATCATTCCAAAAACTTGAAATAAATGAAGAAATAAAAAAAGAGGAGAAATTTTGTAATAGTTCATGGTAGAGGGGTCACACCAACACAAAATGAATGCACAAGTAACAAGCACAAGATTCACAGAAACAAACACAAACCATAACACAGCCATATGTGCAATCTTAAATGAAACATGTTTTCTTGCTTAGGATTAATTTGATCAAAAGCTTAACCCAAAGGCCTTTAAAAAAACGTAAGTTTTAAATAATTTAAACAATTATTTTTGAAGCAATTTTAAAAACTAGAAATATGTCAAGAGAAAAATTTAAAAAAGAGGCTGCAAGAACCTTTTCCGTCACCACCAGGGGAGTTTAGATCACAGCAATTTACTCCAGGGTTAATATCTACACATCTTGCTAATTTAGCTTTAGTTTTCATGTTCAAATTTTACTTGAAATACAATTGATAAAGAATATACCATTCAATGATTCAATGATTGAATATACCATTCAATGATTCAGTTTTTCTACAATTAACTCAAGATGCTGAAGAAAGCAAGCTAGTATTGATCAAGGAAAGGAATTGGATGCCTGGCAAAAAGACTTTACTCCATGTGATTAGCTCAACTGCCTGGAAGAAGGATGCTTAACAGCTTTGATTTATTGCAATATAGGTACTATTGATGAATGCTATACCAAAGCCTTTTTGTATTGCACTCATCATAATGATCAATGCTATATTCTTCAATTTTGCAGTACTTCTCATCTATTCAACATTTTGGGTAATTTTTTCTTCTTCTTGGTTTCCATGCAATCCATTCTGAAATATTGGAGAGTGACAAGCAAAATAGTCGCCACTTATTTGTAAATGTGTTGAGTGAAATTTTGCCATTTATTAAACACATACATTTCCATAATGAGGAATTTGCCTTTTTTAAAATTAAAAATGAGTTGCAATTATAATTTGAAAAAGTAAAAATCATGATTTATATTTTGGTCCAAAGACTCTACAACACAATATTTCCAGTCAGTTTAACTATCAATACAAGCATCTATAGATATACAGCCTTCAATCATTAACTAATGTAACACTGAATGGGTATAACTCACTTACCATTATCTTTTGATTTATATACGGAGCAAGTTTGAGTGAACATTATTGTATTCCGTATGAATGGTGAATACAAAATGAATGGGAGAAAAAGAATTGTCTTCAGTCAAAACTTGGTATCATCAAGGGTTATTATACAATGTAGTCGATATCTTAAATCCTATCTACCGGTAAATTCTTCTATTCTTATTAGGCTACTAAACAAAGCTCCTCTGGATCACAACATTTTGACTTATGCCGTCCACGCAGGCCAGGGGCCTCGTGATGGCTTCTGTATGGTGATGGTATAAACAACATTTTATATTTCAAAATTACAGCATCCCGTGTATAATTTTTTCTTCAACTTTAAAGAGATGTATATTTGTACAAGTTACATGAATTTTGCAATTGATGTCTAAATGAATTTTCAAAAAATACTTTTTCAATTTCCAAAAATGGCTGCACAAATCAACAACTCTTTTTTATTTCATATTCAAATATATTATTAGGAAATTAATAGTACAACATGTAAACAAGATCTCACATTGAGAAACTGAATAATTTACAATAGATTCACCAATGACAGGGACAAATGAATTGCCATGAGATGTATGGAAAGCTGCTTGTGTTAGACCACATGGACAAACATGAAGCTGATGGATTATGGTAAAGCTAAAAATGACTCCAACTATAAAATATTTGTATAACCTTCTACATTCTGTGAGATTGAAATATCATCACTATCATCTGGAAGAAATAAAATAGATGAAAGGAGAAGGGAGGTAGATGGCAACAATATGGAAGGATGAGAATACTTTACTAGTTGACTAAGTTAAATCTTGGTACAAAATTATCAATAACTGGTAGCTACTTTACACCGATACCATCATTCTCTACAAGTATGTGTATCATTTTGGTATCAGATAGTATTTTGTAAATACACCCGTTTGCTCATTCATTTGTATTATAAATCTATCAAGATAAATGTATAGCATGACATCATGGAATATACTTTTAATTATTTTACCTACAAATACACCAGTTATGTGAACTGCTGAATAACATGTTGTATTACATGTACCTCACACACAACATTTAACTAGAGTCATGTTACAATTTTATGAAAGGGCATAATATTCCTTACTTGGCTTTTAGCTTTAAATTCAATGGTGGGTTGCAAATTATTAATATATAAATTAATATCACATGCTTTCTGTCTAATTACTTTTAAAACTCATTAGAAAATCAAACTTTTGCTGAACAAATTCAAAAATTTAAAAAGTGTTGGTGTTGTCAAACCTTGGTGCAATGCCATAACAGTGATATTTTATTTCAAATGAAAAAGCATTGTGCAACTCATTCTATAACAATACCAGACCATGCTTTAAATTAAACTGCCTTTTGCATTCTTATTTAAGAAAACATCAGTGTAAAAAGGAAAACGCCAGGTGCTCAGCATTTAGTGATTTATTAAGTAACAAAAATAAGAAACAAGACAGATGTGACTTTATCTCCTATATGCCTCCACCCTTAATTCAGTATAGGAAATGACCTTTAGTTGGTGGAGGCATAACAAAGTGAACTGGCCGAGTGCGACTGAGGGTGGTAACATAGAGTAAGAAGGGGGGAGGTGGGGATAATGTCTGACATGGTTGGAATGCTATTGGATACCATGCTGCAAATAAATGTACAACACTAGGTCACCAGACCAAATGCTGGAGCACCCTAGAAATAGATGTAGGATCTCGGAAGGGGATTACTAGGTATGGGATAGGAATAAGAGACATTTAAGAGAGGACGATGCATGGGATATCTTACCTTCATCTCTGTCTTGTTTATGAATAGACTTGAACATTTCCTTGTACCAGTCGTGTCTGTTGTCTTCTTTTACATGCTACAATAAATAAAGGAACATGAAAGAAAGGAGGTTAACCATAAAACCCATTGCTGGCTCTATAGCTACATCAACAGCAAGATAATAATGTTAGTCAATTCAATTACAAACATTGTCTGTTGAGAACCATATAATTGTTTTCCTTTGTTCTCCTATTTCATTTGAAGCTATCGTATAAACTGAACATTCTCTGCCTTAGTAGTATATATATATAATTGTATGTTTATTTGCTTTTGCTGTGTTTGTTATGAAAATGAAATTAATAAACGAACGAATATCTGGCAAAGACAGGAAGCAAGCAGGCCATGACCAGAAACTCCAAGTGCCATATGCTCGGACATAAGTTCTTCAAAGGAGCTTCTTTCCAGATAACACCAGGCTCTGGAACTCACTACTGCAGGCCGCCGTCACCTGTACCTCTCTGCCAAGGTTTAAGAGAGAGGTACTCAAGATCCAGCTCCGTTAAGCTACGGATGTCTTTTCAGCTGCACATAGTTCATTGTAGACCTTTTATTGAGACACAGTACATACACCTGCACAGTATATACACCTGCACCTACATCAGTACGAGAATACACCCGACAGTGGCCTGTACTTATAGCGAAGAAGAAGAATAATCAAGCAATGGACAAACCTGTCTTAGACCGAGCGGTAAGCCATCTTTGTCCCTCGGGCCGATACCCTCGTAGTTTGGTGCTTCATGTTTCACCACAGTTGACGTTTTCCTTGTCACACCTTGTACTGGGTAGAAAGTATCGGTGTGCACTACATCGCCCTCTATTGTCTGTTTCTGGAACAGTGCACCGGGAGGAAGGTTTGATGGATCTATAAATGGAGGAAACATTTTATGTTTAGAAGAACATATGACACAGATTATGTACAAGCGATGAAACAAAATTGCTAGATGATAAAACATATAAACATCTGCCTCAAGATACATCTAGTGTTTAACTAAAAAACAAATGAAGATATATGACGTACAATTACATGGAAATGTTGACATTTTCTGCGTAGTCTTAAATGAATTTGGATGATATACATTTATTTTCGATCATCTTTAGACAATGCATATTTCACATTTTATCTTGCCCACTTCTGTCCCTTCTTTTCAAACAATTCTTTCTTATATTTTTAAAATTCAACTGCACACCTTTATAATTTCAAGCTCATATTCTTTCAAATGGATAACAAATTATTTTTTGTAAATTGTGAGTAATTTAATCTAATAAATTTACAAGACATGGTGAACATAGATCAGGTGGCATGCAAGGCAGTATGACACATATGATAATGAATCTTTAACTATTTCATGAACATGCATGTGGATGGAGGGGCATCGTTAAAGCAGGCATAATCAGAATTCCTTCTAATATAACATGAATGAAATGGGTGTAAAAACATGGAATGATTGTTCCTAATGTGTTAATATTCTTATGACATTCATGAAGATGGATTTTCATTACAATGATTATGATTGTTAAAGAAATGGGGGGGGGGGGGAGGGTGAGAGGTTTAGGGGTGAACTGATTACTGGTAGCAGTTATTTCTTTGAAGCAACCAAAACTTGAGGTTGGATAGATAACAATGGTAGAAAATAATGTACACAAAGTCAAAGAAACCATTGACGTATCGAAGGGGGGGGGGGGGTGTTTTGGGAAAATTATATTCAATATTCAAACAGGAAAGTTCTGAGACAACATGGTTCCATTGTGTTGTAGTTTAATACACAGAATCAGATTGCCAGCATTCTGTGCATACATTTTGATGAAGTCTACTGACACTGCTCTATAAGCAGGGCTCCACATTAACTTTTTAGGGGCACAAATGCAATGGGCCCCTGCTAACATTTTGACGTTCTAAGAGTTTTTTCAATATTATTTGTCATATGAGGGGCTGAGGGGGAGCAATAGGGAGCATATACAGAGTGAGTCCAAAAAAGTTTACACCTAGAAAATTGCTAATTATTTAGAAAATCATCGATGAACATTAAACTGTTATATGTCTCATGAAAGAGTGTTTTATCCCAAATCATTTGGTACCATTTTTGTGTGATATGTGTTCACCCTAGGATGAACAGGAGACATTGTTTGCAAGAGTGCAAAAATCGACTTGCGCCAAAGTTGCCTATGTGATCTTTGAATTGGGATTTGGGTATTAATTCGGTCTTTGTAGATCCAAATTACACCCCTAACAAAATTAATCATGCCACGCATATTAAATATCGAATATCAAATATCAACGAACATTTGTGCGCATGTGTGTGGGTGTGTGTGACACTGCCCTTTGCAAAAAACATATGCAATGCATTACAATTGATATATTCAAACCATTTTCTCACTCCGCTAATCCCAACATAATACATACGGAAGGCATCACTTTGGCGCAAGTCGATTTTGCACTCTCGCAAACAATGCCACCTGTTTATCCAAGCGTGAACACATACCACACAAAAATGGTACCAAATGATTTGGGATAAAACACTCTTTCATAAGATGTATAATAATTTACTGTTCATAGATGATTTTAAAAATAATTAGCAATTTTCTAGATGTAAACTTTTTTTGACTCACACGGTATGTTTAAAAAAGTGACTACTGTAGTCATTTGGGAGTTACTGCAAGGCATAGTTACATACAGAAATATGACAGGTAAAAAAAAACCTTATGAGGAAATAAGAACATTTTTAAAATACAGGGAATATGAACATGGACACAAAACCTCAATCAAACATATTGGCCCAAATTCATGAAGGAGGTTTAAATCTATCCCATGGTTTAAATCTTCATTTACATAGTCAGAGGTCCAATATTTAGATGCGCGCAAGGCAAGGTATGCTTATTTTGCGCTAATTTTTAAACCATGGGGTATGTAAGTGAGGGTTTAGACTAAGGCTGCGATGGGTAGTCGAATGCCCGAGTACCCCGCACGGTTGACAACTACTCTGGTACGATTTCTCGTACCCGAATATTCGGCTGCAAAAAAACACAAAAAAAAACACCTGTGCCAGGGAGAGCGGCGGCCGCTGGCATGGTACCATCGGTAAAAATGTTTCCCAACTCAAGCACTGTCAAACTCACCACTCAGAAACTGAGACCAAATGTCCAGATTTCTTTTTGGACTCGGAGGACAATGGATTATTCTGCCATCTTTGGTTTTTAAAACAGCATTGTTTTATACTGTTATTATTATTATTAAATCTGCGCCTTCAACTGCAACTCGAAGTAAAATTGCATGCGTTTTCGGCGATACTGGGATACTGCACTAGTGGCAAAAAAAATCAAAAAAATCAAAAATTTCAAAAAAATTCAAAAAAAACATGGCGTCCGAATATTCGAGTATTCGCTTGTAAGCCTGGGAGTGTACTTGGGTACCTCATTACACTGTTGTGCACAGCCTTAGTTTAGACCATGGGTTAAGTTAAACCTCCTTTGTGAATCCGGGCCAATGTCTACAGTCTACAAAAACTTTCTTTTTCTATCTACAGACACTTCAACTTTCCTACATGAAAAATAAAAACAAAACACTCGCAGCAACAAATGAAACTACATGTATCTAATTTTAGTGGAAAGTTGTAAGAATTATTTTTCGATGTGTGTGCTATTACAAATATAAAAACAAAAAGTGGTGGAAATTGCTCTGCGTTAAGCTTTGCTAATCTTTTTCTTCTTTAATGCCACATGGACAGACAGAAATTTCAACATTCAACGTCTCACCAAGGATGATCGTGGAATTGCCATTGGTCGACGTAGACAGGGCGGGGCCTGGCTGTTGACCCCATGTCAACAAATCTACACCCCCACAGGCAACCATTACCGGTATCAAGTTGGTTATAATTGGCAAATGAAAGTTGGTGGTGTAAATGAAGGGAAATTAGAGATGCACAAATGAGAAAGATGGAAGAAGGATGGAATTATTAGGAGTTAATATTAATATATCATCAAATGCACTGGATTAAATATACAGGATTATTAAAAATTACAAAAACAAAGAATATAATATATATCTAAGTATGAAATGTAATTACAAGTAAGTTCAGGCAAGTATGCATTGGTTCTCAGACAGCTATACAGAATGCTCTTTCCAAGAAAGAAGTCATACATGTACATCTATGCAAATTAATATCATCTACAAATATGCAATCTAAAGTTAATCTATATCTGAAATGCATTTGTTTTATATATATTATATATTATGTTTTATTGCATGCTTTTTTTTATTTGAAATGCTCTCCAAATCATTATTTTGTAATTACTGCAATTTGACAATTTCAGCTAATAATCAAAGGCATTGTACCTTGTATGATGAAGGAAAATATATTCACAGGGGGCCACTTCTTCTTTTAGAGATTTAGAAACAGATTCAACGGTGTTTTTGTTCCATAACAATGCCATTTCATGCCATTTCATTGTCTTGACTTCTTTCTTTTTTTATCTACATTTCAATCATTATTTTCCCTAATTTTGCAACCCACAGACAATTTTGAATGCATGACTTTAATACGCATGATATCAATCCAGTGAATAGCATAAACATTTCCCATGCAACACACAATGAAGTCATGCCATTTTTTTAAATTTAAGAATCTGACGTTTGTGAAGAATTTTTGAACTATTATTACCCCCCCCCCAAAAAAAAAAAACAACAACAACAACAACAACAACAACAACCCCACAGTAATAATAAGAGTTACTTGATCTAAAAGCCACATATATTATTATTGTATTTAAAAGTATTAAAGTGTTATTTTTACTACATGTATCTGTTCAAATAAATTTGAGCGTCTGTCTATGCATTTTAGCAGAACCTTTACCTTTTGTATATAATTCAAATTGTTAACCTTTTTTTTCCTTACAAAGCTACCTTTGCATTATCTATGTTTTGTGCTACTATTTATATGCAACAGTCCATTGTTCTCTTTTTTAAAGTTATTTCTTTTCCTAACTTCTCCTTTCCTAACTTTATCCTTTTCTCCATCCCTTTCTTTGATTTGAAATCTGGGGGTGTTTCACGAAAATTGTCATCAGTGACAAATGACAGTTTTTGTTATAAGCTACTGAAATCCTTGCTTCTGATTGGTTATCAGCAGATTTGTCACTGATTTTTGTCATTTGTCATTGAAAAAAAGGCTTTGTGAAACACCCCCCTGATCTTACTATCCTCCTACATTCACTTTCTCCTTTCCTGTCCCATTCTTCATGCTCTTTTAACTCTCAATGCAAAGCAGCCAAAAGGTTGAACAGGTGGGTGTTTCACAAAGACTAAGATCAACTTCAAGTTGGACTTAACTATGACAAGCCATTCATGCCACTGGTTGCTCTCTCTATTGGTCTCTCAATTATGATCTTTAGATAATATTTTTTCCTTCAATAATGAACTTTCAAAAAATGTAAATTCTCTAGATTTGTGACCTTGATTGGTACGTTCCTTGAGAAATCAATGCCGGTAAACGATGAGAGAAAATAGTGGCATGAACAGCCTGCCATACTTTAGTCCAACTTAAAGTCTATCTTAGTCTTTGTGAAAACACTCCCCAGCTGTCTGGTAGGCATTCCCAGACATACCTTCCACCAGTATTATATTAATGCCTACTAAAGGAGAGTATTAAAGTACTGTGCGCTCAAGAAGGAGGGAGGGAGCTCACCTGATTGAATAGCACCTGGTGATCCAGACAACACAGCACTGGCTGGTAGAAAGCCATACCCATTGGACATTCCTTCAACCGGCACTTGCCCCCCTGGTTGATAAGGCACTGCCCCAGCGGGGCTCACAGGCACAGCTCTTGAGACTGGAGGGCGGGGAGAGGCAGGCCCCTCCCCAGCAAACTGAGGTGGTGGAGGGGGGTGGGGTTGTTGGCTTGGGGAGCGGGGTGAAACATACCCAGGGGAGAGTATGTGGGAGGGGTCTGGGAGGGTGTCTACAGCCATGGGTTGTGTGTACTGTGGTTGATTGGATTGAGGGGTGATAGGGGGGTGAGGGGAGGTAACCCCCTGATTGGAAGGGCTCCATGTATGAGCAGCAGGTGATGAGTAGGTCTGTGTGAGAGAAGAAAATAAAGTTATTAGAGCTGGAAGATGAATCTGAAACCCTTTTGTGAAATAAAACATCACAGAAGGCCTAAAATCCTTCGGTTAACAATTATCTGTCTTAACGTATCATGGATCTAAAACGCACAAGACAGCAGCACAACAGTAATAATTAACCCATTGGAATGTTCTTTGACCTTTCAAAGATCACTAGTAAAAGATTATTATATCCTTTTTAGTTAATTACATTATTTTGGTATTCAAGGTATTCCTTTAATGTTTTTTAAAGAAATATTTTATTAATCAAAAACATTTTCTACATATCATTAAAGTGAAATCTACTACTTGAGCTGTTTTTATTGGTGTACTAAAGCGTTTTATTTTAGGTCCTTAAAAGTAATACAAAGTTTTTCATTGATTTTGTTTTAATTTGTTTTTTATTGTTTTATTTTTTATATGAGCAAGGCTTTTAGTGTTCAAATCCGACTCCTACCGGTGGATTGACAGAGCTGATCTTAGGCCTGTTGGAGAGATCTAGTTTGACCGGCTTGAATTCTTTCTTGACCGATGGGCCACCACCTGGTGTCCAGACAGGAGCAATGCCTTCATCCTTCCTCAGCGGGGGCGGAGGCGGGGCCATCTGATCAGGAACTCGGTCAACCGACACGCCACCTTCGGAGGGCGGCCATATACCTTGAAAGCGAAAGTGTAATTATCAACCAAAAAATCATTAAAAATGTCCAATAAAAAAAAAATTATGCAGTGGATTAAGAAAGCGGATTAGATATCACCTATTGAAAACCATAAGGGCATTAGTCCATCACTCAGCATTGAAAAATCATTGCCCTTTTGGCTCATTACAGATGAAATATGCAATATTTCGTTTTCTATACCAGCCATACACAAAATCATATGCACTGGGACCAAAGTGCTTTTTAGTCTGCATGCATGCACAGGCTTTGGTAATTTCATATAACTTCAAACATGCATATTTGCACTGTAGAACAAAAATATGTTAACAATTAAAAATAAATTGTAATAATGTAACCAATATCCTTCATTCTCATCCGACGCTTGCATTTTTGAAGGACAGAATTTCTCTAAAGAGAATCATAAGGTAGGTTTCTCTATCATTTTTGAAAGCCTACGCATCGAGGTCTTATTAGTCTGTACAAACAGCTCATGCCTTGAAAGAATAAATTGTGTAGATTTTGTGTAAGGCAGGTAACAGGTAATACAACTTCAATGGTGCTCACTTCAAAATGTCCAGGTGTTATCTTACAGGTATATGGAATCACAATAACCCATTAACTACAGGAACAGGGTCTTTCATGTACAAAGCTTATGGGAATGAATCAAATCAGTAGCCAATCGCTTAATTCAAGTAATTTCTCTTGTCTTAGTTTGTATCGATCCACCACAAAGGCAAATACACCCACCCCTTGCGTTTAAAAACTTCTTATTTGATGTAAATGTTTTGTTTTATATATTTGAAGTGCAAACATTCAAATACACACAAAGTGAAAATAATAAGGAACTGGGAAGCATCATAAGTCCTCATTAACAAAACTAGGTTACCTATTTTGCTGATATACTTTCTCATTCTTTCTATTTTTCTTGTGCGCCTCGGAATAGCATTGTCTAGATAGACGGCGCTATACAAATGCCTATTATTATTATTATTATTATTATTATTATATAACCTGAAAAAATGTACATTTACTTATAACAATGTGACACCACAACAATCTTCTCCACAACTGAATATATATTTAAATGTATGTGAATAAATATCTGATTCCAGACATGCATGAGAATATAAACAAAAAAATGAAGGTTTCATCAAGTAAATATAGGACAAAAAAAACACTTCATGTTTGTGAATATAGATGTGAAAGAATCATGAAGTACTATATAGGCATGGTTGATAATACTGTGTTATTGAGGATAGCTGTGTAGTGTAGTTACAACAAGACTTGGCATTCTGAATATGAATCTCAGCAAACTTCAAAAAGTGATAGTATCCTTGGATTGAAAATATTTTGTTCAGGGAATATATATGATGTCTGTGTGAAACATGCATGAAATTTGGAATTACATGATATAGTTTCCAATGCATTTATTTATTTTGTTGCTTTTAAGGTATTGAACATGTTGAATAATTATACTGAGTTAGACAAAACCATCTGTGCGCTTAGAAACACCTGTATAAAGCACCCTATAAAGCGCTCTATAAATGTAATTATCATTATTATTATTACATGTACGAGTTGCTTTATCAATATTCAAAGGTATTTTGCAGAGTGGGTTCTATCCCATCTAAACTAACAGCAGTCTGTTGCAATTCATAGAATCAATTGAAGAAATTCCTCCATTCTGACATAAAAAAAGACAATACTTTTATGTTTTCCATCTACAACCAGTCAGTCATTAAAATTGTCATCTTTGGCTCTTCCCTTTAATCTAAAAATGTCACTTTCAGAAAGAAAACAAAAGTGCAATTTGAACAAAACTGTTCATCCACTGATTTCAATTTTTACTTAGAATGGTGATTTTCAGGAAGCTCCTGTTGCACATAAACTGATTTTAAAAATAAGAATATTTCTTTCGCAGAGCAGAAATTATTAATTTTGTGTACTTTTTAAAACAATTTGAAGGGAATTAATTATGAACAAAAATAATTGGCAAAGTATGCGGAATAACATTTAGTTACAGGATTGTTTAGTGAATAAACACATTATGAAAATCAATAATCCTGTATGGAGATGCATGATTATCAATAGTCATAGAAATGTGTATCTTTCTCAGTTTCCTTTACCGCTGAAATGTTTTAATCCATTTGATTGTCTCTCTCTCCCCGGTCATACAATACCTAATTTTTGTTCTACTTCTATGAAATTTAATTTGACTGTTAATACAACCTGGGGGGTGTTTCATAAAGCTGTTCATAAAGTTACGCATGACTTTACGAACGACTTGTATATGAAGTGCCAGATAGGATGCCCAAAGTTTTTTTCTGATATTTCCAATAACCTCAATTAAATTATGGCAAAAAATATGCTTCGCATTAAAAATGTTTGTTATAACAGAAATGTTAATCTACATGTACATCTGCACAGTTCGACTTTAGTTGATGCAGTTAATAAAGATTGAGCATCCCATTTGGCTTTTCATATACAAGTCATTCGTAAAGTCATTCGTAACTTTACGAACAGCTTTATGAAACACCCCCTGACTATATAGTATGTTCATTTGGACAGCATTAGAATGATAGCGAGATATCGACGGCCATGCATGAATCATCAATCGCGTACGTACGTACGTTCGTTCGCCATGCTTTGATTGGAGGATGGAGTTGAGGGGGTATGGAGGAGAAGGAGGATTATCACGGCAGTAAGGCAGGCAACCAACCAACGGCAGGAGGGTTTGGGAGGATGAGGATTGTCATCTCATATCAGAACATTGAAAACGTATCATACCAGCTTGAGATGGCTTTGCTTCGTACTCCTCTTCAGGAGCATTGTGTTTGAACGGCTTGAAACCAAATTTTCGCGGCGGGGGAATAACCTTGCGGTTGGGGGCTTCTGGACGACTCTGTTGTTGCCGCGGTGATAGAGGAGGCGGTGGTGGTGATAGAGGAGGCGGAGGTATTACTGGCGGTGCCTCAGTTGCCTGTGGCTTGGGCATGGGTGCTGCCACGGGCCTGTGGGCCTTGGGCTTAGGCTTAGGCGGAGGGGGTGGAGGGGGGCCCCATTCCTTACTTTCATCAGGAGGGGGAGGCGGTGGCCAGAATTCATCTTCATCTTTGCGTTGGTTGTTGTTGTTGGTGGGGATATCCATCACAGAAGGCGGCGGAACTCCTAGCCAATGAAAGCGGGTGGAAGGAGAAACATAGGACGAAAATGAGCAGAATTACAATGAAAACAAGAATATTTTTTCGGAACTCCTAGCCAGTGAAAGTGGGTGGTGGGAGAAACATAGGAGAAAAATGAGCAGAATTACAATGAAAACAACAAGAATATGTTTTTATTAAGTCATTCTTGTTCAGCTACCAAGTTTAATAACAACGAATGAATAACAACCTTTTCTGCTAAAGTGTTTAAACAATGACATGAATCCAAAGATTTAAATCCTAGGTTTCAATATGTCAATCAATCAATAAGAAACAACATTATAGGTGCAAGTACATTTCCCTGCAATGAATTTCTTCATATCATATCATCGTGGTAATTTTTGTGTGTAGTGAAATATACACAATACATTTTTTTTTAAATTAAATAAAAAGAATTGTTATAACAAGGGAATAATATATTTTTTTAATGATGTAGTCTATCATGCAAATGCATCAGTTCCTCATACAAAGATTTAATACAACATGCGTGATATACCAATGAACATTCCGTCCATGCATATGTACATGCATAAATAATAAAGTACTAACACATACATACATTGTATATGCAATAAATAAGAGATCAAATATGATGTAAAGTTAGTAGTTCTGTTAAAACCGAATATGTTTGCATGTCATTATACTAGACAAAAAGACAATACACACAAACAAACAAACAAACCATTCCTAAAAAATAAATCATGCAAGATAACTATCATTAGTATAGGATTTCCCGGCCAAATTCGCGTGTTTGTCATTTGAATTCATTTACTTTGCATTTAAGTTAGCGCAGATCGGCTTTGCCATGCCAATTATCATTCAATTTTCCAGTTTTTGTATTCAATTTAGGATTTTGGTCGAAGGGTTTCATAGATCTGTCATTCAATTTAAAAACTGCTCAACTAGCATTCAAATTAATATTCACTTGTCGAAGCGTAATTTTTATCATTCAAATTAACACCTGTCATTCGTATTCGTAATATTTGTATTCAAGTTCGGAATGTTAGGGGGAAGAATTGCAACAAACTTTTACAGTTTTTAAATAATGCAGTTAAAATGCATGAATTGCCATTGGGGTCTAAGCTGTTATTCCATTTATTAATTTTTAGGACAATGCAGATGGGTGTAGTCAGACATAAAGTAAAGAAGGGGCGAAATCAAGGGATATGGCATTTCTGCACGGACATGTTCATATACCCGGGAAAGGTGGGGGTACCCTCAATCGCCCCTTTTTACTACAGACTCAGAATTTTACAAACATAATTCACATCGTCTCTTATACCCAGCACACCCCTCTGTTTTTCTTAAAGAGTTTCATAGTTTACTTGCCCGCCAGCAGATCGATGGATAAAGACATGGCTAAATATAATAAATCATGTTCAAATTGTTGACTCTAGTCCCTACCCCAGTCACAATATTGTACCCTTCTTCCATGATGAAATTATGATAAATTTATGATGAAACATAAGACAAACAACTTCCTTACATGAACATTTACAAATATACTGAGACCATCAGGTCCGTATAGATGCAAGTCGTTTTTTTCTTCTTAACAATCAAACTTAAATGCTGATGAATATCAGATAAATCTAATAAGTATAAGTGTATAAATTCAAGAAAATGAAATATGATGAAATACACATGAAAAAACAATCTTGAAAGAAAAAGAACGAGCTATAAAAAGTGTGTAATAAACGAGAAATGTATATTGACCATCAATTTAAGTGCACAAAGTGCTAATTTGAATGCTACAAATGAATTAGAATGCTAGAAGTACACCGCCGCGTTGTCAGAAATCGTGTTGCGCCAAATCGAATGACCAAATAGCAAAAGAAGCACATTGTTCATTAATTTGAATGAAACATACGTAGATTCTAACGAAAATTCCATAGATTTGAAAACTAGAAAAGGGAATAGAAACCAGAGATATACCTGACTGCACTAAAACCGTCGAATTTGAACGCAAGACAAATTAATTTGAATGACAAACTCGCGAATTTGACCGGGAAATCCTATATATAAAAAAGACATATCATGAAATATAAAACATTATAGCCAAAGGAAAAGAAATCAGTCACGTAAGAAATAAACATTGACGTGGAGGTCTATTCCTTTAAGAAAAATATGAAAGCCCATCACCTTTGAAATGAAATATAGATTAACACCACAGCAAATACCATTGCATATTTGTTACTGACCTCACATCAGTTAATATCACCCATGTATGAAATGTTCAGAAATTTGGTCACAAAAATGCACTCAAATTTATAAGGCAAAAGGATAAACCGTGATTGAATTTTGAAATTTGTTAGGATACAATCTGCTGCCAAAGTTTGAATGGCTTTCATTATCTAAAAAATGGATAGGACTTTACAGTACCATCTGTTTTATTTTAGCAATGTAGCATTATAAATTTATAACTTTAAAGAAAGTCAGAGAGGGAGATTGTGCTTCTGGGTTTTGAGTTATATTTACAATGGATATGTATTAGAAAGTATCCTTTACTTAGAAGTTGTACTCTGTCATTTAAATCATTGCCCCAATTTAAGAAAATGAATTGAGGCAACAACTAATGGTGTTCTTGAAACGGACAATTTCTGAACTTTCCAATTCACATCATCTGTTGGGAGCCAAAAGGGCATTAAATAGCTTTTTTTTTAAAATGTGCAATGCCCTTTTAGCTCTCAGAGATGATGTATCTTACTAGCAAGCAATTACTAAAGACTATACTATGTTGCTGAGCTTAAGATCTTCTTAGCTAGATAAAATGATAAGTATAGGAAGGTTACAACGGCTAGAAAGCATTTTATTTGTATCCATGATATAGCTGATACAGACGTGGATATTTGGAATATAAGGGTACCTCCTTGTTCACGTTCTTCTTGCATCTTCTTTCTTCGTTCAAAGAGGGCAGCACCACGTGACTTGGGCAGAAAGCCCGTCGTCATGTCAGTAAGAACCCATCCTGTTATCATGCAAAGTAGATTCAGTTTGGTGCAAGAGAGACTTATATCACTTTTGCAACAAAGGGGTACTTTTGTGAGGTATACATCTATTAAAGCATTCCTCATATAATCTGCAAGACATATGTGCATTAAATCACTCAGAGCAAATGAATAGTCCCTGAAACACTGAAGATTGATAATGTTAATACTGCAGTACTACAATGCTAAAAACCATTTGGAAAATACATCCATGTCTCTTGCCTTGACTTTTTTCTTTCTGTTTATACAGGGGTGTGAAGGGGGAGGGAAGGGGGAGGGAAGGGGGAGGGTAGGGGTGGGAAAAGGATGGCAAGGGGAGGGGAAGGGGATGGCAAGGGGAGGGAAGGGGAGGGAGGGGGAAGAGAAGGGGAAGGGGAAGAGGAAGGGGAGGGGAAGGGAAAGGGGAAGGGGAGGGGAAGGGGAAGGGGAGGGGAAGGGCTGACTGAAGAACAAAATCTGAAGTACCGTAGCTATATTGCAAAGGCAATGTTTAGCATAAACCAATATTTGTTTAATGCTAAAGTTTTGTAACATTTATCATTTACTAGCATGCCTCAATAGAAGTATTTATGATCCTTCATTAAGAAAAATATCTTTCTATTCTACACTACTCAAAGCAAGATTTGTTCATAATACTTTGACAAATGTTCGCTGATTGCTTGCTGATTGCCCGCTCCCTTGCGGTCAAAAGATGACCTTTAAAGCAGAGAGAGGAAATTAGATAGAATGGATCGAGCAAATAACAAATGTTGAGTGCAGCAATGGAAAAAGAAGATTTCTAAAGGCTTAATAGACTTAAAAATCACAAAGAGAGTGCTTTATTTTAGTAAACATTGCAGAATTGAGAAGTGCACTACATATTTACTATCACATGTTTCGGAACAATTAAGTTGTAAAAAAAGAATAAAAGCACAGTCAGAAAAGTTAAGTATATATTGCACTTTGAAAAACATACAATAGTTCAATTGAAGAAAAAAAAAAATTGTCATGGTAACCAGTAAAACGTTTATTCTTCAAAATAAAAAGAGCAAAAGAGATAGAAAAAATAGGGTTGAAAACAGGTGCATACAGCATAGTTTGGGTGAGAATGATCAAAAAGAGAAAAGGGAAAGAGGAAAGAAAAAGCAATAGAATAGTGCAGTACAAGTAAAATCATACAGAAAGAAATTCAAAACCATACAAAGGACAATATAAACCAGAAATATGATCAGTAAAATAAGTTGGAGTTCCTTGCAAAAGGAAATAAAAGCACAAGGTAGCACAAGGTAGGTGCAGAAAACAAAACATATAGCAACATAATAAAGTACTATCCAGTTCGAAAACAGCAAGCATTTCATCATATTCAAAATGCATCAACCATGCACAAAATGCAGTCAACCTTTCATAATCAATTGCATTTCAATAACAATAGATATTTGAGAGAAAATATAACTTTGAAAGGAGAGTGCCAAAACTTTACAAAGGAGGAAAAGCTGGAGAGCATAATAAGTTGCAACAATTTAGTTGACATCCTACCTTTTTGCTTTGATGGACTCATTTGAAACCCATTGGTTGGACTCATTGGAGGGGACGTGGGTGAACCTGAAAAAAGAAAGAAAGAATGAAACGTTAGTCTTTAAGATAAGTTGGACAAATTGATTTCCATTTATCACTTTGTTGTGCGGCTGGCAGAAGGGCAGCAGGAGGGCAGCAGAAGCATCAAAGGCCCTGTAACTTGGAAAATATATATTTATCAGATACCACACTCAGTCTTCTTTTTTCTATTAGTCGATAAAGAGAAATCCCTGTGATGTTAAAAACCGGCAAACGGTGTAAAGAGATGTCAAAACCTTAGAAGCGAGTTAAACATTTGCTTTGTGGCACAAACGTGCACGCAAACAACAATCTGCCAGTGGCATGTTGAATTGTAACTAGCTGTCAGGAGTTTATGTGGAGATGTCAGAGATACTGTACCTCCTCATAGCATATGATTGAAATGAGCAGTATAATAGAGAGAAAAGATAGTATTTTTTAGATACATGAAAGTATATGAAAGTCTGAGCCACGCTACTCTTCTGTCTACATTAGATGTGAAGTTAGTATTTGATACAATTATTTTTAATTTGAATTTAACCTTATTAATTACTACTTAATGGAATAAATGCCAAGGCAATATACCATTTAATGGATAAACCCTCTTCAAATGAACTACCTCCGCATACAATTTGGGGTGTCGCAATGTTACAGGGGTGCATTTATTGGTAACTGATAGTTGTACTATACAAATGTACTATGAATCTACATCTATATTGCTAAATTAGTAACATACACTGTAAATGGAGGATAAACACAGACAGTTTCTACAGGAGTAACATGAGGTATGAGAAAAATGCTTGTTTTGTTTTTCTTCAATTTTTCGTTCTAATCATTATCAAGGGCAATGATTATGATCATTTACATGTAACAAACAGTGCAATCTTTAAACAATTGTTTGCCTAAACTACAACTAGGAGGAATGTACATGTAGATCAATGTAAAGCACCTCTAATGGTCTTTTGAGAGTGTAGTACGGTACATTTGCAAGAACCAAGTAAAACATTGTTTGTCTACTGGTAGTCCTTTTTAAGTTTCTAAGAAAAACAAACTTATGCTTATGCAAGTTTTTGCTATTTTTTCCAAGATGGCTGCCATGCTAATTATAGCCGGCCAAGCCTGTCTATTCACAGATATTGTGCTATTTGAGTATACTGATGCAATGTATGACAAAACAAATGAATAGTAAATAGTATTTTAAAAAAGGAAGCGGGCAGGGACAGGAAACACTTCATTTTTGTTTTTTGGCCTTATACCATTACCGGTACTTGCTGCAAATAAACTCAATCCCCACAGGTTTATTGCCTAAAAAAGAACAACATATGACTTGCCCCTTTAAGACCCTCTTGTATGTGTTGGACATGTGACAAGAGCTACATAAAATATGAAAAATTACAATTTAGTTCTCGAACGGAAAAAGAATAGTGAGTGTGAGCCTCGAGGAGCCCCTTTAAGGATCTTTTGAGTGTGGGCTACACATGTCAGGGAGGAGCTATGTAAAACATGATTGGTATGTAGTCAGTCTGTACAATGATGACATTGAAAGCTAGGAGGAGGTGTAGGGTCAGAGATAACAAATCAAGAAGAAAATCATGTCACTTCATGGCTCCTCTGTGCTATCAACTACACCATAGATTCACTCACGTCTTACTTAGACATGTCAACATGCTGGGGCCCGTTTCACAAAACTTTTCATCAGTGACAAATGACAGTTTTTGTTATAAGCTACCGAAATCCTTGCTTCCGATTGGTTATCAGCAGATTTGTCACTGATTTTTGTCGTTTGTTATTGCAAGAAGGCTTTGTGAAACGGGTCCCAGGTCTATTTATTATTCGTTTGCAAGGTTAATGATTTCTACTAATCTACATATATTGTATGCCTGGTATGTGGTAGAAGGAATATTGTAAAAAATTAACAGTGATTAAATATTTGCTCCAGACCATGTGTTACATAAATATTACCTATCATTGAAAAACATCGTAGACCATGTTCAAGAGTGGATTTTGAGTTTATTTTTTAATTGGAAAATATTTAATTCATAATTCATTCAAGCAACAGTTTACATCTGAAAGGCTTCTCATTTCATATCTTCTAAAGATCGACATTTGTTAGTGGTGTTTATTTTATCTGACTGCTAAGAAAGCATAAAAGCTTGTTAGTAAGGAACCAGAGGACCGACGGCTTCATGCATCAACAAAGCTCATTTACCGTAAATCTTCTTAACAAGAACTAACAATTAGTTTTTAATTAGAATAACTGAGTAAATTTAGTGCTTTGATGACGTTTGATGTTAACCCAAGACAGACGGCTTTAAGTCCTCTTCTATCCGAGGGATTTGGGGATGAGCATTAATGCCTTACCAAAAGGCACAAATACATCAACTTGGTTTTGAACCAAAGACCACTGAGCCATCGCGCATCTTGGTTTATCAACTCATTCACAGAATTTTCTTTTAAATCATCCTGACTAAAACTGCCCTTTCTGCTCGGAATATATAGTTCACAAGTTATAAATAAATTGAAAATAATACATGTAGGATCCTCACTGAAGAATTGCACATCTAAAGAATGAATAATATACTTTTGTATGCTCAAAATTTCCAGTGACACACATATCATTTTCAATAAAACATTAACAATTAGTTCTTTTGATATAAAATATACCACACTCCAATGACTGCATATCAACAATTTGACTGACTGGGTAATGCTTGATTGATTTAAGTACAATAGTTACAGTTGATTAGATTAGTGATATACCAAACGCACCTCAGTCCAGAGAAAATTATGCAATTATGCAACACAAATCTGAATCACGAGCTACAAATACATGTGCTCTTAATTTTCTCAGATGATTTTAACCTTGAACTGAATTTTCCTCTTTTTCTTTGGATAAAAAATAATTGTGGAGTTACAAAAAATTGAAAGTCCAATATTGTATGTTGAGAGTCAACATTCGCATCAAATTCTGTCAAAGTATATACTAGTTACACCCTTGAGGTTCTTAACAGATGCTGTGTGTTTGAATGGCGCGAGGGATGCAAGGGAGGGAGAGAGTGAAGGGGTTAATGAGAGAAAGAGAGAGAGAAAGAGAGAGAGAGAGAGAGAGAAAGAGAGAGAGAGAAAGAGAGAGAGAGAGAGAGAGAGAGAGAGAGAGAGAGAGAGAGAGAACCTGACAGGATGAAACTGTGAGACTAAAATAGAAGATGACACTCTTCATGATGTGGTAGGAAAGTAATGCAAGAGTCACCACCATGTAGAAGTCAAAACCAAACACTGAAAGGGAAATCACAGCGGTGAAGCGCGGCAGTTGTCCCGCTGGTCCCACGTGAGATAATGTTTCAATCGTCAGCGGTGAGTTGTTCGGCTTCATGGTATACCAAATTAACTTGACATTTAGCCTATAGCTTAGACACTCGAGCTAAGAAAAACATATCACTATCTCTTCAGGTAGAGAGATACCAGTCGAAGATCACGCTGATAGAGAGAGAAAGCCTGTCTTCATCAGCTCCAGATTGTCAAATAGCCCGCTATTCCCGATTTGGGAAATAATCCCTAAGTTACAAAATCGCCTCTTCATCAGCTCGAGACTCGACCTCGAAACTTGAATCTCGAGCTCAAGCAATTAGCTCAAGATATTTTGCTCAGCGTTCACGCATAGTGCGAGTCTTCGGGATGGTGAAAACGCACCGGACAAGTAGCGGGATATTTTGCAAACTAGCCCAAGATATCTTGGGATGATTATCTCGACCAAATATCCCGCTAATTGCAACTTTGGGCTGACGAAGACGCAAATTAACCTGATAATTTGCGATCAGGATAGATCATATAGGAGGATATTTGGCAACCTCGAGCTGATGAGGACAGGCCTATAGAGAGTGAGAGTCAGGAGGAGATAATTCTCAATCGCACAGTGTGATTAAACTGATTAAATCACAATTGGTATATCAAGAGGAGGATAAATGAGCTGAGCAGTTGATAGAACTAGTTTAGAAGTTTTAAAGGCTTAGTTCACAAAGTTTCTTTTTGAAAAAGAAAATAGCACTCTATATTGTCTTTGAATCCTCAAAGCCAAAATGATGTACCCCTTGATGCCTTTCAGCTGGAAATCAGAGATTTATACATTGTAAATCAATGATGCTTCCATTTACACTGATCGTAACATACCACTCCATACATGTAAAGTCTGGAACCAATATTGAGCTCTGTATGTAACAACAGTTTGATAGATAATTAGATCATACACACCATCTGGTTTGTATAAGATTTGTAATAATAATAGACTTTGCCTTTAACACCATTCCAAATGTGCTTCACACAAGTACAAAAATATTCATACTGTATACATACATGCAAACTCATGACTCGGATGGAAAGTCTTTAGCAGTTCAAATATTTAATAACATTAATGTAGAGTTAGTAAATTGATTTCTCAACTCACAGACATTACACACTTAAGTCATGCATGCCACCTGAGTTTCATATCATGCATTAAAGTGACTCAGTAACATTGCCTCAGATTCTGTAACAAAATCATGGATTTAGCTCATGCTGCAATCATAATTATAAACCGTTAGGTCAGTCAAGAACTCCATGACTTTTACAAGCCGACCGTCTGTCTGATTATCAAGATATTTATGATTGAAAAATCAAAACCAAATTTTGCTTTTGCCATACGATTTTCATAACACTACAGTCTATTGGAGAAAACGAGTATGGTAAAAACCGGTCACTCAAAGATTTTTACTTTCTTGAGGCACTTCATTATCATTTGGAAGTGCGATTTGTTAAGGGCTTCAATATTGCACCATATCACAGACACTGATAACATGTACGGCCATGCATCTCAGTTTTAACATTGTTAAACGATGCCTTTAACATGATTCCAAATGTATATAACACCAGCAAAACATTCATGCAGTCCCACTCATAGCCAGGATGGAAAGGTTGCCACTCCCTCAAACAAGTGAACATGATCTAATACGATTAATGTAGAGCAACTCAATTGA